AATACCTGTCAGCTCCGCCTCTGCCATTTCACTTCCTGTACAAACAATTACATTAAATATATGAATTAAAAATGATTATTAGCACTTTAAAACACGATAAAAACAGACAAGCAAAGATTTCAGGGAAACGGTAATATAGAAAGTTAAATGTACACATTTTTGGTGCAGTATTTCAAAAGCAACTTAGATGCATTTTAAGTTGTTGGCTCTCAGTATATTAATAGCACAACATTAGTATACTAATTTTGATTATTGTACATATAAATACAATATAAGGACTACATTTAATATTGCGCCATGAATGCTATGATTCCAATTAATCCCAATAAAATGGAAGTGAAATTTCACACACAAGACAAGTCTCCATCTGTCCTCTGTTGTGTTTTCCACATGGTTGTCTCTCTCCCTGTTCTGTGTTTTTCTATGTGTGTGTGTGTATGTGTGTGTGTGAGAGAGAGAGAGAGTGGAGAACTGAGAACTGATTGTACAGGCATTATTAAATATTTACCAAAACCGTGTTTAAATTTATAAAGATAATAATATCAAGAGTTAATTTGGCTGAACAGGGGACTTTAATAATCTAACAATGTAATTAATTAATATAATTAATAATTAGTAACTTTTTAAAATTTACATGTAGGATTTGTTTTACGATACACAGATCAAAAATGTTAAGGGAACATAAGACAAAGCCAGTTAAACTTCAGGCATATAAGTCTATCAAGTTAGGAAGCATAAATCATCTTATCTTTTTTGATCCAAATGAAAGCAACAACAGGAGCACTGAAAAGGCAACAAGAAGACACTGCCCAAAAGACAATATCAGACTATAGACATATAGACACAGACACAGACATAGATGGTTGCTTTTCGCTAGTGTGCTTGTCACTACTGATAGCATTAGACTGTTACTGAAATGTATTCAGGTTGCACAGGAAGTTAGGTAAGGTTTGCTGTGTCTCCCAACACAGTCTTAATATTACAGAGGATATACCAAGAAATGAGGTGGAAAAGAAGACACAATGAGAGCTGGACAGGACTAGGAAGGGCATTAACTGAACAGCCGGGCTGATATCTGCTCCTCTGTGCAGAGAGAAACACTGCCAGAGCCCTTCAAAAAGACCTTGAGATGGTTCACGTGCATTATTCTGAGATAATTGCCAGAGAACACCAGAACTCCAAACACAGTTACACAGTTATATAGTTTGCTGTGTAGCTTTTTGTAGAGAATGACTGCTCACGGGATGTGTGAAAATATCAGATGATCAGCAGTTTATGCAATCCTCAGACCAGTTTGTCACTCAAAACATCCATCTCTCTCATTCTAATGCTTGGTTTGAATTTCAGAAGGTCATTTTGATCATGTCTACAGACCAATATTGAGTAACTGGCATGTTGTTGGCTGATTGGGGACTGACATTAACAAACAGTCCAACAGTTGTATGCAACAAGGTGGCTGGTGGGTGTATTTCATCTTATTGAGAGTATTTCAGTGACATAGCTATTTACACACCCTGTCACGGCTGGGGCAGCAGTCGTGTGGTGTATTGAGAAAAGTATCCAAAATGCAGGCACTGGCTGGGGTGCGAGTGAGTGTTTAATTACAGAAGTGACAAAAACAGGAAAAGCAGAGCGGGGAGTTAACAAACCTAAACTGGGGAAAACTAAAGAACTAACCTGAAACCAAACACTCATGGGAGGATGAGCAAAATGCACAGAGAAAGATGGCAGAGAGACGCAGAATGAACACCGGGTTACACAGAGTAATGCAGACTGACACAGAGTAACACAGACGACGCAACGAGGAGCACAGGCAGACACACCCTATAAATACACACACCAGGCAATCAGGAAATGGGACACAGCTGGAACTAATGGGCATAACGATACACAGACCTACAAAGTAAAACAGGAAACACACAGACTGTTTTACAACACAAAACTCGAGGACCCGAACAGAGCACAAAGGACAGACACAGGTAGGGCTGGTACAACACTCAAGCACTAAACACAAGAACCAAATCCTAAGAACTAATACCAAAATCAGAATAAACACAAAACACAAGGTGAAACCAAAAGGAAACACAAAACGCTGGGTCAAAATGACCCAGGATCATGACACACCCGTTAATGCTTGTGTTAGCTATAGGTCTACTACTATAATTAACATTCACCTTTGATATTTTTAATTACACTCACAATGCTCTCTTTTACCATTTCTTACCGCTGTCTGTCAGCACATTGACAGCTGCAAATATGGAGCTCCCCACCAGGCTGGAGATGTTTTCAAAGGTCTGTTTGATGTGCTCTTTCTTCAGCGTGACTGTTCCTACACCATTCTCAATCTACAACACATAACACACATAATGTTAGTGCTTTATTTCATCTGGATGCAAATGTTGCAGCTCAGACCCAAACAGAAAACATTTGTTCTTTTCTTTGCATGTGTTTTAATACATGTGGGTAAAAGAAAAATGTGTGCGACAGAAAGACACAATAATAAAGATGAAGTGATGGCACACAACAGTGATGAACAAATGTGTGAGCATGTACCGACACTTTCTGAAGCGAGGCCTGAAAATTTGTCTTTTGGTCCTGATGCAAAACTCCAAATACCCCAAAAGCTGACCCATCCACCTCTTCACCAAACAGATAGCTAAAGCCACAAGAAAGTAATTAATAAGCTAACGAGGCCAACAAATGGGTATGATTAAAATAAAAGCATCAAAAAACGTAAAAAAATAACAATCTGAAATCTAAAAAAACGTTTTACATACGTAGCTTTGATGTTGATGGTGAGCTCATCACTGTCCACATAGAAGAAAGGATTTTCACGCGTCAGCTTGACCTCGAAATTGGGCAGCACTGAAATGACATTTTACTGCATGGTGAAGATAAAGTAAAGAGGGTAAAAGTATTGTTGTACAGGTTATATCTAAAGTGGAATTGACCCCTGGGCCTGAAAAGTGAGTCCAGAAAATGGGGAGAAGCCTTAAACCTGCATTCTTTGTAGCAAGTAAGAAAACAAATTCTGTTTTGTTTGTTTATGTTTCGGTGGGTATGGTATTATTTTCTTGTGCTTCTAATTTTTTTTGTTTGTTAGGTGAGTTAATTCCCTTTTCTGATCCATTTTGTCCTAGTTTCATTTATGTGTTTTGGTCCTTCAGCCTAGTCTCTGTATTTCTGTATTTTTTGTTCCACTGTTTAGTTGTGTCAAGTTGATGTTCTCTAATTTTACTTAACATCACTTGTGTTCCCACTGGTTTCCTCTCCCATCCTCATCTCCCATTGTCCTTTGTTGTGTCCTTCCTCATGTCTTCCAGCTCTTTTTCCACATTTTTAGTTTCTTTGCTCCCACCCTGCTACTGTGTAGAACTTTTGCATTCCGTTTAAAGTAAAGCATTAAAGGTAATTTTGAATTTGATTCCTACCTTCTTGGGTCCCAAATCCTGCTTGGCACACAGCTATTTCATGACAACGTGATCTTTACATTGCAAATGATGCTCCATATTAGTGAATAAGCAAGAGTGTGCTACTAATATGGTGATAGCCAAAAATGCTTAGAGACTTTAGAAACAGGGTTTCACAAGGCGGTGGCATGATACCTACATCCATCTTTTAAATGCAGTCTATGATGAAAATGCCCATGAGATAGCTCACCATAGTCCTTGACCTCAAATTCTGCAGAATAGCTCGACTGTGGTTTACTCTGGAAACTCGCCATCACTTTCCACAGTCCAGTGCTTTCAAAAGACAAACACATGTACACAGAGTCAGACTGACATGTGAAGGATGTCTTCCAGGACGATGGCATGTTTCAGTGGCTAATTCTGTTGCTGTTTTGGTTTTC